GCTGGCCTGATTGCCCCTAACCCCCTGCCAGCCTGATCTCGCCCCCAACTGCCCTCCCCTGCTGGCCTGATCACCCCTAAATGCCTCTGCCTTGGCCTCCACCACCATGGCTTTGTCCAGAAGGAAGTCAGATATCCAGAAGATGGCCAGTCAACCCGATCTAATTAGCATATTACCCTTTTATTAGTATAGATATCTATATTTATAACATTTCAGACAAATGAGAGTCCAGGTTTTGATCTTTTCAGGAGAACAAGTAAAACTTTTGAGTTAGTCATTAAAAGCCCTTCCAGTTTGAGCCAAGAAAAATGCATCATGAAGAGCAAATACATGTTGTTTGTATGAGATGATGAGAAATCCATACTTTTCCAATAAATTTCCCCATGTTTTTACTAAAGTGAAACTATTACCTTTAAAAATGGGTATCTTTGTCTTTGGATAACTACCCATATAAATTAGAAAAGTAATTTTATATTATACCTACATTATTTTATATTCTGTATATACTTATATACATGTTATTTATATTATATTGAATGCAAAAATATTACTTCCATTTTAATAAGAGGTACTAAAATAAGAAAAGGCTCTACAAATTTATTTCTGTTTTTGTCCATAGTAAACATTCCCAAAACGTTGTTGTAATCTCTTTTTAGAAATAAAAGGCAAAAATAAGACCAAAATTGGAACTGGCAACAGTAAGAACTTAATGGGAACTGCACTTCTCTGTTTACCACTACCAGCTAAAGGAGAACAAAAGTACTGAAGTTAGAGAGGAACCCTTTTGTGCTTGCTAGATGTATTGGATCATAGCTCCATAAATATTTATGGAGCATCCACTCTGTGTTAAGCATTGTACTAGGCACTTAGGACACATGAACTATGGTCTCTTCTCAAGTAACTCACAAATCTAGTTGGAGAGGCAGCTAAGTGAATATGTGCAATTATATGTGTTCAGGAAGCATGTATAGTCATTCTCTCAGAAATTAAGAGGAACCAAAGTCACTTTTTTTTTGAAGTATTTAAAAAATGACAAAACTGTGTTTATAAAAATTGAGATGTATTTTAAATGTTCACAAATAATAAACTAGTGCATTTATAATTTAAAAACCCGTGTTCTAAAATACAAGGCAATATAATTATACTTTTCACAAGAGAATTAATGATATAATTTACATGAAAATTAATTATTCATATGGTACCTTACACAGTCTGATCTATTTTATTTTTAAATGTGTTTTTATTGATTTCAGAGAGAGGAAGGGAGAGGGAGAGAGGGATAGAAACGTCAATGATGAGAGAAAATCATTGATGGGCTGCCTCCTGCATGCCTCCCACTGGGGATTGAGCCTGAAACTGGGGCAAGTGCCCTGTGCCCTGATCGGGAATTGAACTATGACCTCTTGGTCCATGGGTTGATGCTCAACCACTGAGCCACATGGATCAGGCTGATCTATTTTAAACTGTATGAAGAATGTTGTTTTTCTTCAATCCTGACAGTATACTTCTGAGACTAAGTATTTCTAACTTAGGTCAAAAATTCAAATTTGAGTTTCTTTGGTGCGATCTGGGCCAAATGGTTCTCCTTGACATATTAGCTACGTGTTTTCTTGATGGATTCAGTGAAGCATATCACTACAGAGAGTAGCATGAATAAAGCACCATGTTTTTGTGATAATGTTCCTGAAAACTAAGGGAAAGGGCATGAGAATCTGGGAAAAGGTTGATTGTCATATTAAGGACACTTTCTTCATAACCTTATAGACTATGTTGAAAGGGTCCTTACCCAAGTTCAAAAGCATTTGGTTTCTCTTCCCTATGAAGAGGCTGAACAGCAATTGAATTTCATCTCTAAATCATAGCTGACAAGACCTTTGATTTTTTTTAAAATATATTTTATTGTTTTTTTACAGAGAGGAGGGGAGAGGGATAGAGAGTTAGAAACATCTATAAGCTGCCTCCTGCACCCCCGCCACTGGGGATGTGCCTGAAACCAAGGTCCATGCCCTTGACCGGAATCGAACCTGGGACCCTTCAGTCCGCAGGCCAATGCTCTATCCACTGAGCCAAACTGGTCAGGGCAAGACCTTTGATTTTTAGCTATGTGTATTATACAATTCCATTACAAATCAAATGGTGGTCTCTGAAATTACAAAATCCAGAAATTAAAATTATGCATAATTTTACTTTTTAGAAAAACCTGCAACACATTGCAATGCTCTTAAATAATTGAAATATTTAAAAAGTAATTTAGTTCTTTAATAAGTTTATTAATGACCATTAGTTTGAAAGTTCAAAACCTTTGGCACTTCTCAGGTGTTTTCTCAGATGTGAAGCCATCTAATATTAATTTTGTCCCACTTAACATACACACCTGTATACTTAAAAGGGAAAATTACTCAAAATAGAAAATTAAATATTTTTTACAGGCTACATGCATACACATGAGAAAACCTTTTAGTGTTTCAGTAACTATTAAATGTCAATTCAGTTTAACTAAAGTATTTATTAAACAAGTGAGAGTAAAATATAGCATTAACTAAAATATAAAGATAGAAAAAGGCCTAGAATCACCCTGAGACTGGAATGGAAACATTAACCGGGAAAGTGCTGATCCCTCATTTTACAAATGAGAAAACTGAGCCCAGAGAGAGGAAGTGATAATACCCAAGTTGCCTAACAGCAGAACTGGGATTACAATATAAATCTCCTGAACATGGAAGATTTTTAAAGTCATGTTAAGATTTTCAAGTGTTATACTATAGGTCAGTGGTTCTCTACCCTGGCTGTGCATCAGAATCACCTTGTGACCTAACAGTCAAATAAAGAACCATTTAGAAAAAGAATGAAAGGAATTTCATAACTGAATTCATTGATACTTTCACTTAGGCTATATTTAAGTTTTGTTGCTGTTGTTTTTAGTCTCATTGTATATTTTTATGTTGGGGGCATAGATATTGTTTTCTAATTTTATTTTTTCCAATTATTTGTCAATTTGAAAATTTGTGAATTTTATATTAAATACTTATGACATCCCAAATACAAGGTTTATTTTCAGAAAATCTAGCATAGAATGGATGTTTAAGATTATGTAGCTGCCTGGCTGGTGTGGCCCAGTGGTTTGATTCCCAGTCAGGGCACATGCCCAGATTGCGGGCTCAGGCTCGATCCCCAGGAGGGAGTATGTGGGAGGCAACCAATCAATGATTCTTTCTCATCATTGATGTTTCTATCTCTCTCTCCCTGTCCCTCCCTCTCTGAAATCAATAAAAATATATTTTTTAAAAGATTATATAGCTGAAGTATATCTGTATTCTCCCTTTTAAATCTGAAGCACCTTCAGGATTAAAATTTCCTACTCATATGATTTCAGTTAGTATTTTAAATACAGATGTCTGGACCCTGCATTAGTTTAGATGAGTTCTGTGCCATACAGGTTTGTCCTGAGATGACACCATGTCAATGTTCTAAGCACAAAGAGAAATAGAATAGTCAGCATTTGGCAAGAGGTGAGGTAACAGATCTGTGTTAGGTAAAGCTTTTCTACTTTTTTGGGAGCCATGCAGAACTTGACTTGGAAAAAAACCAAACATTTGCTTTTAGAGATTGAATGTTGTATTAAATGTGCCCATCATTCACTTTTTCTTTGTGTGTGTGTGTGGGGGGGGGGGTTGCCTGCAGTCAAGATTAGTCCAGACTAGAATTAAGGGTTATTTTTTGTGTATTTGTTTTTTAGTTTTTTATTGATTTCAGAGAGGAAGGGAGAAAGAGAGAGAGAGAGAGAGAGAGAGAGAGAGAGATCAATGATGAGAGAGAATTATTGACTGGCTGTCTCCTACATGCCCCCCACTGGGGATGGAGCCTGCAAACCGAGCATGTGCCCTTGACTGGAATCGAACCCGGGACCTTTCAGTCCACAAGCTGATGCTCTATCCACTGAGCAAAACTGGCTAAGGCCATCATTCACTTTTTCTTTGGCTATCCTCCTATTGTAGTCTAGACAGCTGTATAGTTTTTGCTAAAATTAGTTTCCTTTAAAATGTGGACTTTCTAAAGACAGTGAAATGAGATAGAAATGATTAGGTAACAGAAAAGATGGTGGCTTCCTTTCAAATAGCTGTACAGTGATAATATAAATTATCTCTCTATTTTAAAAGCATTGATCAATTTCCAGATTTCTTTGTAAGTCATATAAATGTCTAATCACTATGCACACATGCAAGGGTCTTTCCACAACTACTAGGGTTCAGGAATCTGGAGAAGGGGCTGTATATAAATGAATAACTAGAGACTAGACAAGAAATACAAATTTGGAAGGCATGTTTGGGGAGCCAGGGGAGGTTTAGCTCTAGTGACTAAGCTCTCCCAATGTCCAGACCCACGGCTTTTTATTCACACATTTTGCCCTTTAGCACAGCAGATATACATATCAAAGGTAAGGTTTGATAAACAGTCAGGTTAGGGCAGTGGTGAGCAAAATGTGGCTCGGCAAACTGCGGCTTGCGAGCCATATGCCGCTCTTTGGCCCCTTGAGTGTGGCTCTTCCACAAAATACCGGCTCTTCCACAAAATACCGACTTCTGCGCATGGGCCACGAAGTTTCAATCGCACTGTATGTGCACGCCTGCACATGGTATTTTGTGGAAGAGCCACACTCAAGTGGCCAAAGAGCCACATGTGGCTCTGGAGCGTGGGGGGGGGGACCCGCAGTTTGCCGACCACTGGGTTAGGGGAATTGCCTTCAGCTGTTCCAGCAGCAGGTAATAACATGCAGATTTTCAGCCCTGCTGAAAATGTCCTTTCAACCTTTTGAGGACTTCTTGCATTTATTATGACCTGCTGGACTTAGCCTCCAGCACACACACCTGAAACTAATATCATGTTGAATGTCACCTGTAATTGGAAATTTAAAAAAAGGACTTTCCTGATTTCATGTGATACCTAGCATATTGCCAAGCACATAGAATGCTCGTTATTAGTCCTCATTACTTGTGCCTTAGTTCCTATGCCTTATTATATATATCAAGGTACTGACACTCAAGGCTTTTCAACATCTACCTTATCTAACCTGTCCTCCCAGAACTCTGTAGCAGTAATCTTCCAGTGTCTGGCTAAGCTGATATTTTCTATGAATATACTTTATTAATTCCTGACTCCAAGCTTTTTTTGTGTTGTTTGTCTTTTCTGGAGCACCTGAACCTTTCCCTCATTTAAATTCTCTCCATCTTACCTACCTCCACCACAAGGATTTTGCCATTGTTCCTGCACACAGTAGTTTGTCTTTTCTCTGCAGTCCTGGAGAATTTAGTTTCTATGTTCCTCAGTTGGCACTTAATCATATACAGGCAATTCCCATCTGGCAAATGTGTTGTTATATTCTGATACTTCATTTATATGCCAGCTGTTGGATGTATAAAGAATTTCCTCCATAAAAACAGTATTATAAAGGATGAATAGTTTTGTAGGACATTGCACAAATGTCTATTTGGTGTACTGATATTTGGATTACAACAATCATTTATAAAATATTTTATGTAATAACGTATTACAGGGTGAAACTGAGAATTCTAGGAAGGCATCCCTCATGCCATAGGTCTAACATCTTTCTATGGGGTCCTCCTTACCAATTCAGCCTCATTTCATTGGTAACCTGGGTGGTTCAGTGAGAATGCTGTGAGCTCTGGAGTCTCAACAAAAAGAAGAACTGAACCTCTGTAAGTTTAAGAAAAGACATTTTTTTCACTTGGGCCAAACTGAGGACAAGCCCAAGAGCAGAGCTCCAAGAAGCCTGGAAACGGTGCTCTGACTTGGAAGAGTGAGAGCTGCTTATGTAGGTAGAAGAGTGAGAGACAAATATATAGCTAGTGTTTTAGATGTTGATTTCAATTAGGGTACATACATTTCAATAATTAAGAGTTTTATATTAAATGGAGAGAATGTACAGATAAGGTTGGGTCATCGTGCCCCCTTGGCATCAGGGAGGCTGAGGATAGATTTGGAAACACTTATTCTTCAAGGCAAACTTTCTATCAGCATGCAGACAGAACAGGCACTGCTTTGTATAATCATTTATCTTTAATGTTGAAACTGTTGAAAAGTATACATGGTTATTCCTGTGGAATGTGCCTGGTAAGGAATTCGAAGGGCTCTATATTCTCTTGGTTACTGATTTTTAGTTAAAGCAGTTAAAACACCCTTTCTTTCTCAGGGGAAAGCTTTGTGTTTACAAGGGTTTGCGTAGAAGAGGGTGAGGCTGTGGAGGCCCCTACAGTCAATGTTCCCTTTGGATCTGAAGTGGATAAGAAGAGGACTTCCTGTTTTTCTTTTTCTTTTTCTCTGATACCACCTTAGTATAAACTATTATCTCTTCAGGCTTGGACTGTTGCAACCCCTCTGCCTACCCCAATAAACTAGTCTTCCTTTTTATAGTCTTACTGGTGGCCCAGTGAACGAAATTCATGCACAGAAGGGTAGGGATGATGTCCCTCAGCCTGGCCTGCACCCTCTCCAATCTGGGACCCCTTGAGGGATGTCCTACTGCTGGTTTAGGTCTGATCCCTAAACTGGCAGTCAGACATCCCTCTTGCAAGCCAGGACTGCTGGCTCTTAACCGCTCACCTGCCTGCCTGCCTGATTGCCCCTAACCACTCTGCCTGCCGGCTTGCTCACCCCCAACTGCCACCCCTGCTGGCCTGCTCCCTTCAAACTGCCCCCCCG